CACACACACAGACACACAGACACACACACAGACACACACTTACACACACACACATTCCACCAGCAGGAGTTCACCTGTGTGGACTTGACACTCCCTCCCAGTCTCCTGGGAGTGGCTCAGAGAGCAGAACCTGCCTGCAGGCCATGTAAACTGTGTTTACTCAGTCCTGTCCTGCTAACAGCTACACTTTCTGCTCAGCACTGATCTCATTTAACACGATGACGTCACAAAAACACCCTGTACACCTCACCTTCTCTCAGCTTGATTAGCACAGTTCTTCATTTAATAAAGAAATGAAGGGTCTCTGCAGCACACTGAACCTTTAAACTGTTGGACTTCTGTAGACCTTTACAAACACAGCTCTCAGTCTGATAAAATCTACTTTACACACTGCAAAAAACAAGTTTTAAAATCTTATATCAGCCAAAAAGTCTTTTTGATCTTGTTTTGAGACTGATTTACTAAACAAGAACTGATTGTGTAAGAATAATCATCTTGTTTTCAGAATGTGTAAGATTATTTGTCTTGTTAGTCTGAAAATTTGACTCTAATTAAGTCAAACATTTCTGCCAGTGGAGTAAGAACATTTTACTTGGTAAGATTCTTGAAATACTTGATTTGACTGTTTTTTTCTTATTTCAAGAATAATCCAGCGCCTCTAGTGTTCAGACATGGAACTGCATCCAGCATCGCTGGATGCAGTTCCATGTCTAAACACTAGAGGCGCTATAGAGCTTAAAAGTCCAGCATAAATCAAGCTGATAAAAATACTTGATTTGACTCATTTTTTTCTTATTTAAAGAATCTTACCAAGTAAAATGTTCTTACTCCACTGGCAGAAATGTTTGACTTAATTAGAGTCAAATTTTCAGACTAACAAGACAAATAATCTTACACATTCTGAAAACAAGATGATTATTCTTACACAATCAGTTCTTGTTTAGTAAATCAGTCTCAAAACAAGATCAAAAAGACTTTTAGGCTGATATAAGRTTTTAAAACTTGGTTAGGTGGACAGTTTTTGYAGCGGCAYGGCTCAGYTTGGAGAGACTGCCACTAAATATTCACCCGTTTTGTCACAGTTTTGTGTCGCAGCCCAGTGAGTTCCCACCAGAAGCAGARACAAGCAGATCGGAGGAGTTTTTAATTCATACATTCACTGGAAATGAAAACAACGTGACGTCTTGTGTTGAACACGTTACACCAGGCTCTTTAAAAACAGATATTAGTCTTTTTTATCTCCTCCTGACTGACTCAAATAAAAAAAAAATTGTTTTGAGCCTTAAAGTTTTTGTTTTTTCAATGGATATCATAAGAGGTGCTCCTTTTCCTGTGGGCATCCTGTTAAAGAGATCTTAAACTCCACGTTTCTTAAACAACAGTTACAAAAAGAGGATTAAAGTTCGGACAGTAATGATTTACACCAGCGCTGGATATCAAACTCAGAACTTCACATTAATGTWATATAATTTGGTCAAAGTGTTTGTTTGTAACACAGGTGTGCTTTGACCACCTGAACCCTGACTTCTTGTTCCGACCACTCGCAGGCTGTTTTAACTCTGTTAGAGCTGCAGCGAGACATAGATGTGGTTTTACTCTACGTAAGGCTGGTTTATCCTTCACAGATCAGTGATTACATCATTCCAGACGTCTTTTTCTTACTGTTTATACAAGACGCTGGGAATAAATCCCTCCCACAGCACTCCAAACTACAATGTCTCGACGTGCGAGACATTTAAAGACAGCCTTGTGCTGTTAGATGGTATAAACAGATGGAGATAACCGTTGTGCTACATTAATAAACGTCTGCAAGCGGCGGACCATTTTTAGCAAAACGCCATGCAGGACGCTCGGCATGTCCGTAAAGTTCGGACCAATCACAACGCGAGCTGCGTTGGTTTGCACGACAGTGTTTTCTGGGGGCAATGTATGGAAGTTATGCTTTTTTATCATGCAAGACTGTAAGAGACGTGAGAATGGAAGCATATATCAGCCTTTAGCTTGATTTAGCTCTGGAATAGTGCGTCAACAAGCAGTGGACAACCAGGGACAAATCAGTGTGAGCAAAACACTGCCAGGTGTTGCATGATGTGATTGAAGCCACACAATCATCAACACTAAGTTAAAAATAATTCTACTTGTTCTCTGCTAAACCTTTAACCTAATTTTAATCTATCTCCAGAGAACATTTTGTTTGGGCCTGTCGATTAAGACAATACACTGCAAAAACTGTTTACCTAACCAAGTTTTAATGTGTTCATGTG